AGATCTCCAACCATCTGATCACCTTGGTGGGCACTCTCCAATTTTAACATCTCTCTTGAAACTGGAGAACCAAAAATGGACACGATGTTCCTACTGTGGTTTGACAAGTGCCAAGTATTGTGGATTTATCATATCCCTTGTTCTGTTTGCTATGTACTTTCTTGCTGATACAGACTGCAGTTTGTTTTCCTGCTGCAAGTGTGGGCTGCTTTTTTATGCTCCGCTTGCTGTCCTATTGGATCCATAAATTCTTTTCAGCCAAGATAAACTCCTGATTGTCAGTTCCCAGCCCGTATGGATGTTTGAGATTATTTTCCTCCTGGACAGACTTTGCATTTATCTTTGTTAAACCTTATGCAATTCCTGTTATTGTAATTTTCCAGCCTCTTTCTGCATGGTAGCTTTTTTTTCCAATATATCTACCTCTCCTTCCTGTTTAGTGTCTTCCACAGTCTTGGTAAGGGTGCCTTCATTGCCATTTTCCAAACCGTTTAGAAATATTTTGAAAGTCTAGGGCTGACCCCTGAGCCATTCCACTCATCACAAGATGTCAGTCTGGCCTTGAGCTATTAACTACCACCTTTAAAGTTTAACATCTCAGACATTTCTCCACTTGTAGTGCTCCATCTGTGCAGTCCATATCCTGCCAGCTTGTCATCAAGGATGTTGGGAGAGACCTGGCACCTTGCTAAGGCTAATATAGATGGACCTTTATGAATGCATTTTTCATATGTCATTCTTTTTGTCTGAAAACACAGAAGTGATGAGCTTGGTGAAGTAATTCCGAGGTGACATTTCGTAGTCTGTGTATTACAGAAGGTCAGAATAAATCTACATAATTATTGCTCTGGCCTTAGAAGAATCCACAAATCTAACAACTTAAAGAAAAGTGGCTTTTGTCCACTAAGTATGCATTGCTCAGGACAACAGAAGCCACATAGCTGTTGTAGGGAGTGTCATAAATGGAAAATAATGAAATCACATTTGGAGTCTTGACTCCGGAAGAGGATGTAACATAACGATTGTCTTTTTTTAATTCCTGTGTCGTGAAGAATGCTTTCATAGAATATATAACGACTGGGCTTCTGATTTTTTTTGTTTTACTTGTTGGTTTTTTTCCCAAAATTTAATCAATTACCTTTAATTACCTTTGTTACTACACCCTCATGTGAGTTTAACTGTTGCATGGGTGAAAGCAAAGCTGGGCAGTGACACTCACGTGCTTTTATAAACCAGGAAAGAAGTTGAATGCTATCACTGCAATAAAAATCTCCATTGATGGATGTGTGTTTTTTCTTTGTAGAAAAATGTTACTGTATCATGAGGTCTGCTTCCCTGTCGATTGATCCTTGTTTATTCTGGCATTCATTCAACATGCCGATTTTTTTCTAACCTTGTGGTCCAGAGCCTTGCTACTCAGATATTTGTCTTTACTAGCCAGTTTTTTGCAATCAAGTTGCAACACATTGCTAACAACAATTCTTTCTATTTCCAGTCGCAAATTTAGTCATAGCATTATACTAATTTAGAGCCTTTGCAATGCTTCCTTTTGTGATCTCTGACATGCAGTTATTTTCCAATGATATTTAATTTTTGAATGCTGAGTATGTCACCGACAATATCCTCTGAATGCCATTGTGAGAGATCCTGTTTTCTGCACCACAGTTTCTTCATTTTTTAGCCTTTTCATTTCTATCTTTCCTTTTAGTTTTTTTTGTGGGTTTTTTGTTTGTTTGTTTGTTTGTTTTGTTGTTTGTTTTTTTGTGTGTGTGTTTTTTGTTTTCGTTTTTGTTTTGTTTTGTTTTTAATTCCAGTAAAATTTGAATGTGGAAAAGCATAAGACGTTTTCTTCTTTGCACTGTCTTCTGCATTACTGAGGGAACACAAGCATTATAAATCATGTCACCACAAGTTATGTTATACAGACATAATTTCTTGTTAATTTCAATTTAGGCTGGATTTGCAGACTGATTGCCAGTTAGATAAAACAATATGGTAAAATAACACAGATAAAATAACACACTTAACTGACGGGCTATATAAGTTGATTAACCAGATTGATTTGCACACAGTGAAAGATGAAAACAATGTAAATTGCAGCATCTGCTTCTGTCTGTATGAATGACATAATCATGGCCAAAAGAAACAATATGTACATATTGGAGTGTCAGACTCTTTAGTTCAATGTCAAATGGGTTTCTGATGCTTTGATTGTTATGGCTTCTTGATTTTAGTCACGTTTTTCTGCTGAATAGCTTGCTAAACACAGAGGAAAACCACTTGTTCTATTTTCCTGAATCAAATGTTGGGTTCGTTTTGTTTTTTTTTTTTTTTTTTAGGTAAAAAATTCTTTGCTGTATGTAAAATAAATCCCAGAATGTGTACTATACACTTTTTTTTTTAGTAAGAATTTCTAAATGGTAGAATTCAAGGGTCACAAGTAGATGGCCTGTTTTCCTTTACCTCATTTCCGTTCTGACCTTTAGCTTTTAATGGAAGAAAGCACTGCAAAGACATTGGCTCATTCTGCCCATATGAGGAAAGTAAGACATCACTATGCACTTGTTAGCTTCACATCTGTGAGCCATGTACACTGATGTTTGAGTTTCTGTGTTGTCTTCTACAGTCTTATTAATCATATGTAGACTTTTTTACATTTTTGTTGCTGTTTTAGTAATTCCAGTAGAGCAAGCTATCCTGTGAAGGTGCTTTCTCTGATTTTGTTGTTGACTTTTGTTCCCTCCTTTTAAGCAGTAGCTGTGGATTCATACCAGTTAATTCAGTCATTGTAATATGAGCCCTCTGTCCTTTTGAAGATATGGTATATTTTTGCATGCTCTAATGCTTCAGCAGAAAGCAAGCACTCCCTTTGCTAACATGTTTTCAACCTGGGATTTATTTTCAACAGAAATATAGAAATGTAGTTTCTGTTTTTGAATGTAATCTGAACTACATTACAGTTCATTCTTTATTTTATCTTATAGTTCATTTGGCTTTTTCTTTTTGTTTTTCTTTCCTCAACATCTATCAGCAATGTGTATCTAACATAGAATCATAGAATCATGGAATCATAGAATGGTTAGGGTTGGAAAGGACTTTAAGATCATCCAGTTCCACCCTCCCCACCCCCTGCAATGGGCAGAGGTGCCTCATACTAGACCATGTCACTCAAAACTCTCTCCAGCCTGGCCTTGAACACTGCCAGGGATGGAGCATTTACCACTTCTTTGGGCAACCTGTTCCAGTGCCTCACCACACTCACAGTAAAGAACTTCTTCCTTGTACCCAACCTGAATTTCCCATATCTAGCAATTTCCTAAAATTGTTTTCTCTGCCAATTTTTCATATTGCTCATTATTTATGATGGCTAAAACGTTTTCTTTTTTATTGGGTTGTAGATTATATGTCAAAAGAATTGAATATATGTTATTGGTAAATTTTTTCAGATATTGAAAAACATTAATTTTTCACGCTTTCTGTATTACACAGCAGTATAGATTTCTACAGAGCTGATGTTCATTGTTTGAAATATCTTATGCTACCGTGCAGTATTAAATGTTAGCAAGAGTTACTTGATTTACAAAGCAAACCCTGTGTGGAGAAAGCATATCTGTTTGGTCTTCTCTATTTTATGTATTCACACTATATGCTGAAAAAGAATTATTTCCCCTTTCATTGTTACTAAAATCTTGTGCCATCAACCACAGGCTATGTTCAGTACAGTAACAATATGTTCATGTGGAGTCCTCCTAAAGGTCTTCAATTCTGTTAGCACTGACACTAGTTAGTTCAAATGTTTGATTTGCTAACTTCCCAGAGAGAGTGAAATAACTCTTAGATTGTATCATGACTGGGGGACAAAGTCATCTTTTTTTCTAAAAAAAATATTCATTTTATTCCACATACACTACTAATTTTCCTCTGCACAGAATTTATGGCTGTCAATCAGATGAACTTCAGAAAGATTTGTAGTGTCAATCTTTGTTTAGCATCTCCACCAGAGTTAATGGCAGAGTTATGTTTAAGGCTGACATTAAAAAATTCAAGACTTCTTAAAAAGTTAGATTACACTAGTTCTCATGCTTTATTTCTACATTTCATTTACTAAACATGATACATTACCAAACATTTTCTGATACATCTTGATTTTGAATCATTATGAAAAAAAGGGGCAAATGTAATATAGAATATTTAAGACTTCTAATACTTTCAGTTTATCCACTGGTTCTGATCTCTTAAGCACTGTGTTTTACAAAGATGAGGAAAGGTAATATCTTTTTTTTAAAGAAGCTGCGGTGAAAAAAATGAAGCAACTCTTCTGTAGATGCTCAGCATCACTTTGTGCTTAACTGGTGTCTTTTTTGTCTCAAACTACCGTCTCTCTCTTTCTATCAGAACAGTTCTTTGCATTCTTGGAATATTAAAGCACAAAACACATATTTATTTTTAGGACTTTTAGTAGTCAGTTTCTGAATGGCAAGCTAGAATTAGTGTGACCAGACTGTGATACTCTCTCTGTTGCCCTCTCCCTCACATCAGTTTTCTTCATAAATTGCCATCTGTAAATGCTTTAATTACTTCAGGTTGCCACAGTGTGTAGGTTTTCTGAATTGCTCAGGAGTACCTGAGTGATTGAAGTAAGAGTGAAGATTTCAAATGTGCCAGAATCCACAGATTCTCCTATAACACCAACATTGTTGATGGCTACAATGAAATACTTAATAGTTTTACACTTATTTCAAATACTCATAGGTCTTCATCCTACATAAAATCATGTCAGCAATAAAAAACAGATAAACAACAGATATTGCATATTTTCTTGACCATCTTTCCAGATGCTTTGATTTACACAAACAAAATGAGACGTACAGATTAGATTAAATGCTCAAGTACTCTTAAAGCTTTAGTGAAATCTGACAAGTAGTAAAATACAATAAGAGAGCAATGTCCAAACTGGTTATTGGCTTTCACTCATGTTGCATCTAATATTTGTCTTTCAGAAATCCAAAATCTCCACTTACGACAAGATGTGGGCCTTCATGAGTAGCAGGAGGCAGTCAGTACTTGTCAAAAGTAATGAAGAAGGCATCCAGCGTGTGCTTACCTCTGATTATGCATTCTTAATGGAGTCGACAACGATTGAGTTTGTCACACAGCGGAACTGTAACCTAACACAGATTGGAGGCCTGATAGACTCAAAAGGTTATGGCGTTGGAACTCCCATGGGTAGGTGATATGCCAATCGTTTGTGCTCTGCTCATTAATCTTAGTTGCTGCAGCAGCCTTGAAAAGCTTCAATACATTGTTGCTTTCTCTACATTGCTAACGCTTTTTTCTTGTCCTCTTTTTTTCCTACCTGGGGAAAGTATTATGTATTTTATCAATATTTATGGTTCTTATAAACATAAAAATAATTACTTTATAAAAATTGGCATTTTCATAAATGTTTCTCTTGAGTGGTGTCTTCCAACAGCACAAAGTACTTTTCACAGTATTTTATTAAAAAGAAAAAGTTTTTAAAATGTTGCTCTCCCTCTTTAGAGTATGAGGTGCTAGTAATACAATGCTTGCAAATGGGGACAATGCTTCTCTAGTGAGAGGGCTGATCACTGAGATTTTTAAAAGAGAAGGAAAGATACCATAACATGTCATGTACAAATCCACAGAAATATTGAATTAACCTTGTGGAATTTAGTTTTGCAGAGCAATTCCAATCCTGTAAGAATTTTCCAGGTCAGGTGTTGTACAAAACTTTAATTGAAAGATGAGAAGCCAACTACAGACATTAGTTTCACTGGTAGAATCCACAGGGTAGGATTCAGCAAGCACTGAGGTGCTGAGTTCCCATTGACTACAGTGATTATATTTTTTTAAGGACATGAGCTGAGAATCTGGTTTTAAATATCAGAATAGATGGGAATAGAAAATGGTGTGATACAAACACGCTGTCAGTAATGTACAATGATTCTACTTAATATTGTAAGACTATTCTGCTGAATTATTTGCAAGACAAATATTTATTTTAACACTATCTTTCGAAGAATTTATCATTTTGTAATGGATGTGAATATATTTTGTTATTCTCAGGTTGGTCTTACATTTGGTACTGATTTTATCTGTTTTAATAATCTACACTAAATCATTGTATAGGGAAATTGTGTCCAGTACAATCAAACACATGGTATGGAAGATTAAGAAATCAACTTAGCTGGAATCTCTTGGATAAAGAGGTGACTAGTATTATCAAATATAGCTTTCCATGTGTGTTGTAAATATTTACTGCAACTTTACCAACATCTTTATAATGTCTATTTTTTCAGTAATTCTCCATGAAATAGACATATGCAAAAATTATGATTCTATTCCTTCTGTCTTTCAACACTTAATTGTCAGGAATATAATTTCAATCTGTATATGAATATTTCTATCCTTTTCTATTGTAGCTTCTTATATTGCTGAACATGTTCTCTAGACATATAAGTGCTAGAAAGGACTGGACTTCAACACTCCTGCTCCTTTTGTCATTTCTTATTTTCTGGCATATAAAGCTTTTGTTATTTTGAGGATGAAACCCACCTTCCATTTAGGTTTATTATGAGGGAATTAAATAGAAGTGGCAGTGAAAATCCTTGAATAAGCTGCATGCAAAATTCTGAAGGATCTAAAGCATGTCCTGGAAATCTAAGAAACAAAGTGATAGGAATCAGAGAGACCAGGCTATTTTACAAATTATTTTGATATTTTGTAAATCAGATAAGCACCATAAATACCAGAGAAAACAAACATAAAACAATGATAAAGCCAGAAAAAGACTTCGAAGACAGAAGTATTGGTTGTAAAGAGGCAAGGAGTCAAGTATGTAAACTGTCATTTGGTCTTTGACCCCTACCTTATTTATCTAGAACAGGCATTATACATGCACTATTTCTTCATTAACTTATAATATTTTCAGAGTTATTATTCAGCTTTTATTCATCTGAAAGTTTTCAAGTCATGAAAAGATTTCTGAGTCAAGAGAAATAATAATGTACAAGGGGATCTGTGAGCTGACAATTGCCTTGAACCAAAGTGAAACAAATAAATAGAAGACATACCTGCAGGAATCAGAGATCACAAAAGGAGGTAAAACAAGAGCTGAAACAGTGTTAAACTTAGCAAGAGAAGTTGAAATAAGATCTGAAGAAAGGATGAACGCTTTGTAAAAGAAAATATGAGAGAACTAAAGTAAGATGCAATGTAAGGTTTTCACATAAAAAATGAAGGTAGAATAAAACAACATCAGGAGCTTTCCCAGAAGAGCTAAGAATAAGAAATTAATCCTGGCATTGGTCAATATGTATAAAATGCTATCCAGAGAAATAACATTTATAAAAGTTTTGTATCCTGTGTATTAACTGCACAGTCTTAGACGAAAGAGAGGGGTAGCCTCCACTAAAATAATGCATAGTTCAGACATGCATCTGAAAGGAAACCTTGTGAAGAAGCATAGTGCCTGTCAGAATAGTTTCTGTTAAATATGTTGCTTTATTGAAGCTAAAATATCTTACAGAGAAGTGGATAATACAAAATAAACTCATGCATTATTGCTAATCTTATTTCTGCAGGAAAAATTTTTTTTTTAATTTTTAAAAATTTATGACACAGGCAAAACTGCAGAAGTAGATTTCATCATTATTTAATGATTATGGAAGAATATTTAGACAAGCAATTGTGTAATATTTCTTTAGAGCTAATAATCCTTAGAGTAACTTGTCAAGTGCTTGGAAGTGTAACTGTTTCACAGACAAAGCACATGTTACTGCTTGTGCCTATTTGGGAAGAAGCACATCTCTCTGAAGAACAATAAAGGCACAGTATCTGAAAGATATAGATGTCATCTCCCCAAATTTACTGAAACATCCAATTTGTCTCCTGGAATAGTGGCTTAAAGTTTCAGAAATATTTACATGCAAAATGAAATTTATAGTATACAGTTGTTATAGGCATTATGTTCAATACAGTAGAATGGATATGGTTACTTTTGGAGAATAGCAGCAAAGGAAGTAGGTGCAGTGTATTTTGTTCCTTTTGAAGGCTAATGGAATAATGGTTAGTTAGAACATAATTTGAGTCTAAGTAGCTGCAAGGAGAAGATCTAAAATATTTCCTAACAGAAAAGCATGTTATCAGAGTAGTTTATGATAGGATAATCACTTAGAAAATGCAATCACCCAAATATAGCACCAGCTTAGAGTACTGCAGGAAAAGCTCTTTGTTCACAATGTGAAAGTTTTCTGTATTCAGAAACAGATGCACAAGATAAGAAAGAAACAGCAGGTCAGGCAGCGTATAGGTATCAACTTGTTCCAAACACTCTGAAGAAACAAAATCTGTTTATATAATTATTCTAATCCTACTAAAATCATTAGTTATGTACACAAAGTTTAGATTGCTAAAAAGTAGACTAAAGAAAGGAAATTGGAAACAACATACTTTTTGGCATGAAGTAGTATCAGGGTTTAAAATAACAAAATAACCTTTAAAATAACAAAATACACTGATGTATTTTGGAATACCTACTTGGAATAGGTGCAAGGCTGCATTCTGTGTGATATCGTTGCTGTTAAATTTATTTAATATGCCACAGATAACACCCACAGAACTGAAAAATGTGCTAGAGATAGTGAATTTGAAGTGGAGGAGAGAGAACAAACTCTGGGATTTTAAGGACAGATCGTCTAGAGTATTACTTATTGCCTCCAGTAGTTTTAAATGTCCATTTCTTCATCATGCATGATAAAAATATTTAAAATTGAGTTTGCTCTTCAATAAATCCCAGTTGGGTTAAATTTACCATTGCAAGGAATTCCTAAATGTTTATTCCACAGGTTTATGGTCTTACAAACATAAATTGTAACATTTTTTCTCAAGAAAACCTGGTCTATCCAGCAATATACATTTTATGCCCTAAAGAAACACAGTTAGTATTGATTTCCTATGGTCAACATACTGTAAAACACAGTAATATTATGTGACAAATATTATTTCCCAGAATGAGTATTTATTAACATCCTTGTTAACATGAAGTGACCCACATGAAAAGTTAGAAGTTTAGCTTCTACACACTCTATATTAAGGTCTGAATCGCTTGCAAAGCTACTTTTTACTCTCCGATTAGAAGAAACATTCTAAATCATTTATTGGAAAAAAAGCAAATCTTCATCTCTCTGGGGTGTCTTCAGGTTCTTATTTCTTTTCCAAATTCCTGTTTCTCCTCAGCATGTTAGACATCTGGCTGCTTTCCATCTGGCTTGGGCACATTTTTCTGTTGGATTTTGCCAATTGCTTCTATGTTGAACCTGGAGGATATAAATGGCTGACAAGTGTATATGTCAAACCCATTCCATATGAGCAGATCTACTGAACATGCACCTTTCAGATGATCTATATTTATGTGGCAACTCAGGACTATCCTGTATATGCCAAACTAACTCTGCATGTGTGGAGACTCATGCAAAGTAATGCCTCTGACATTTTGAAAATGAAACATGGTGGGTGTAAGTAAACTTACAAATTTGCATATATTTCTTCTAACTCTTAAGAAATACAAAATAGAAAGTGGTGTTTGAGAAATTTGGTGCATATAAGAAATTAGAGATAGCCATTTCTCTGCTGTTTCTCTGTGACTGTTGAGCTGTGGAAAGTTACAGAATTAGACTACAAGGGGGTTTAACTGTATAGCTCTCATGTTCCTGATAATATTTAATAATGGTGAGGTAAAAATCAGCATGAAAAAAAGGTAAAATACACATTTCTTTTACCCTTTCTTCCTGTGCAATTACTAAAGAAAAGGGCTATTAATATTAACAATAACTGAGTTGCAGAACATAGGGAGATATTACATGAGCATCTTCAATTTTGCCAGTTTATTGATTTTTCTCTTGCTATGACCAAACTATGACTTTTCATACTAGAGCATCTCACTATATTCCTGATCTTTCCATACTGATGGACTATCAAGATGCCTTGACAAATGCTGAAAAAAGTTTGAGGTTCAGATTTTTATTATTTAACTCTTAACTTAAAAACTGTTAAAAAAAGAGAAGTGCACTCCCACAACTACATAGAGACTCTTCAATGTACATAGGGATAAAATACAGCTCTCATGGTATGAATGAAATTAAATAGTGTATTTTGGGGTCAGCATATCAAGTTGATAAAGCTACCAACATTTCATTGCCAAGTTA